TATAATCACTGGTTGCTGGGTCACAGGTTTTAATTATCTGCCTATGGGATCTAAATAAGACAAAGTCTGCCCATAGTAAAGGGCAGATTTTACTATCACAAATAAAGGTTGAATTCTCGAAAGGGGCTGCCATTCATAACACTGAGGAAAGTTCATTTGCTTATAGACTAGAAACAAGGAAAGTTCTCAGCAAATACTCAGATAGGTTGCAATTTGCTGATATCCCCGTATCCAATAATTAATGATGGAATAAAATAATTTAAACTGGCCCTGAATTAGTAATAACAGCAGACATGCAAACTCACATTTGAGAAGGACAATGCCCTGAAACTCAGTTTTCCAAAACTTTGAACAGACAAAAACACTGACTCGCATTAGCAGAAGCAATCTAAAGAAACCTACTATATTGGATAAGAACCAGAAGTAAGAGCAGAAAGAATAAGTATGTTTCATTTATTTCAACATATTTGAAATTACAACAGAAGTATGAGATTTGGAAAATGGACCATCTGGATTGGAGAGAACATTTGGAAATTTAAAATATTAAAATTAATATTAAATTGTTTATTATGGTTTACATAACATTTACCAGATGTCTGAGAGAGGATTGAAAAGTGTAAAAAATAGGTCTGGTGAAAAGAACAACATAGCAAAATGAAGAAATAAGACACATGGCAAGGAGCCCAAGATAAGCTGAAAAAAAAAATGAGAAAGTAAAACATTTTTCCACTAAAAGTTACAGAAGTCATTAATAGAGAGAGGCAGCATGCTAGAGGTATTATTGATTTTCCAGAAATGATGTCAGAAATTCTTAAAGATCAACTCCAAAGAAAAAAAGTTCTTTCTCTTTTGATCTTACAATGAATAAAAGCACCAAATGTGATAAAATATATTAAAAGGAGTGAGAGAAGGTGTGTGAGAAAAATTTTACGTGCCAAGAACAAGAATTAGAGCCAGGCATGGCGACACATTCTTACAATCTCAGAATTCTTGGAGACTGAAGCAGGAGAAACTCATGTTACAATCTAACTTGGGAAACAGCACAATATTGAGGCCTTGTCTACAAATAAGAAAAGCACGAAGAGCTGGCTATTTGTGAGGTGTGAAAGCCTTGTGTTCAATCTATAGTACTATAAAGCAGAGAGAGAGAGAGAGAGAGAGAGAGAGAGAGAAAGGAAAAGATTGATTGAAACAACTAGATACAGTATTGCAAACTAACAAGGGAAAGGGTAATTGAGATGAGAGATATATAAATAAAGCCAGGTGATCTAAAAATATGTCTTTTAAATGAAAACTTTAAATTAAATGATTTAGATTTGTAGTTTTATATTTCTCTCTCTCCCAAAAGGAGAAAAAGAACTCAAAAATCAGATCCAGAAATGAAAAGACTAGAGAATTAAATCAGTAAATTAAGAAATATGATAAACATGCTGGATGTGGTGGTGCACGCTCTTAATCCCAGCACTCGGGAGGCTGAGACAGAAGGATCACTGTAAGTTTAAGACCAACCTGGGCTACATGGTGAGTTCTAAGTCAGTCTCAACTACATAGTGAGACCCTTTCTCAAAAACAAACAAACAAACAAAAAGATATATGATAAACATGATTCAAGTATTCTTAGAAATTTATATTAAATGATAAGATAATATGAAATGTAAATCTAGAACAATGGACTCATGAATAAAAGTAGGAATTTAGCAATCAGATAAATTGTTATAGAGAAATTGTCCTACAACTAGCCAGGGAATCCAATTTCATAGAAGAGTTAAACCATGAAGTCCAGATAAGACAAAGAGGAAATATATCTGAAAGTGTGTTGTCTCCCTAAGATAACAAAGTAAAGGTAAAATACTATGCAGGTGGACAGTATAGTCTAGTTGAATCACAAAATATATGTAAAAATCCAAAGAAAGCAGAAATAAATACAAAAGTATATTTAAAGGCTACTGCACTTAGACTCATACATACATACATGGAATAGGCATGTTTGATTCACCACAGTAGCAAGCTGAAGAGAAAAAAATACAGAAGGATGAAGAAAGTGATTGATATTTCCATCAAAAAACAATTGATTTTTAAAAATGGAGGACAGGACAACAATGGCAGTGTGTAATAAAAATATGAAAAATTGAGGAAGTTCCACAGATACCATTCTCATTATATCAACTCATTGAACTAATTATTTAGTCAATGAAATAGCAAAGGAAATCCCTAAATATGTCCTCATGTTTTTACTCCTACATACTATTTCCAGCAAAAGCCAGAGAATTATTTTTTTATTATTATCAGGCTGAAAATAATGAAGCAATCTATTATTTTCTCAATTTTGCTTAGAATAAATTTAAACCTCTTCAGATGATTTCCAGATGGTTACAGTGTGTTGCTCTTTTCCTCCCAACTGTCTTCACTCTGTCCCAGTTGTACTGGCCTTGTGATGTAAGGCCCATGATCATTTTAAGGTATTTTTAGTGCTACACTAAGATATTTGCTCTGTATTCACTTGTTCTCTGCACAGATTCAGGGCTCCTTGCTTCACTCCTTGCTGCAGTGAGTCTGCAGCCCTGCCAGTGTCTGCGGCCCTCTCTTTAACCCTCACTCTTCAGCTCGTCCACTGTGCCTCATTATTTCTTTTCCACAGCACTTATGGTGCAATATCCTATATAATTTCCTTAAATTTACACATTAAGGTCATCATTTAATGAATTCTCTCTCTCTCACTCTTTTTTTTTTGGTACCGGGGATTGAACTCAGGTCCTTCTGCTTGCGAGGCAGGCCACCGAACCACTGAGCTAAATTCCTGGCCCATGAATTCTCTTTTAAAAACTTTTCCTTTTTGTTTTTGTCTTATTTGTTTGGTTTCACTTTTGTTACTCTATGTTTGCACTGCATCATGATTACACTCACTGTGTGGGACTGGTGCATGTACCTAACACATTTCAGTTCCCCTCTTCCCTTTTCCCATACCCTTTTATTTTTGCAGCATCAGATTAATTTAGTTATCTTATTAGACCTTATAAAGTTAATTGTCATATATATAGATTGAAAATCAGGCTAAGAGGACAAGAACATATAAAACATGTAAGACTATTGTACTAAGAAAAGGTTCACTTTTATTTTCATTGTTCACACTGAATTATAATAACTTGTTTCTTTCTCTTTGTTCCCATTATCCGTTAGATAGATAGATAGATAGATAGATAGATAGAT